TGCTGCCCGGCCCTGGGCTCAGAGGGACGGGTCTGGGTGAGTCCCCTGCAGGCCCTTTAAGAGGACCTCCCTCCCCTCACTCAGTGACAGTCCCCTTGGTTTTCCCAGCCCTAAGTCGTGGGGAAGTCTCTTCCGGACCCTGGAACCCTGGGCGGGGGTCCTGTTGTGGGGCTGGGACCCGGTGCCCCTCTGGGTAACGTCCACGCCGAGCTATCGCTCCCGGTTTTAAACCAAGGCACCAGTTCTGGGCCCGAGGCCTTGTCTGTGACTCAGCCCTGATCTGCCCGCGTCTCCGCCTCCTCCTGGTCTCCTTCCTTCTCAGTCCCCTGGTTGCAGGGCTCTGTGCAGCTAGACCTCAGGAGGCTCTGAGTGACGGTTGCTCTGTTTTAGGTGTAATTTGATGTGGTTTGGGAGGCAGCAGGTACCCCGGTTACCTACGCGCCCACCTCTTGTCTCTGTACCAGGAACCTGAGGGTGCAGTTTGTGGTTCATTCTGGGCAGGAGGTGCGGCCCGGTTCCTGGTTCCCTAGGTGAGCCGTCCCTGCATTCCGGGACCGAGCCCGACTGGACCAGGGAAACCATCCTCCCAATGTGCTGTCACGGTTCCTCGGGCATTGTTGAGGGTTTTTGCATTTATGTTTGGGGACGTCCCATCCGTCCTGGAGACAGTCCTGTTGGAGTGAGGACATTGCAGGATCTTCGCCTCGCTCCCTTTAATGTCGTTTAGGCCAATAACCCTTTAAATTTTCATTAATTCTGATTTTTAGTTTGCTTTTCTTCTAGGAATCTAGGTTTTCCACCAAACTTTCATTGTCATGATCACTGTTTCCTGTGACACATTTCGTGATTTGCACCTTTCCTGAAAATCTTGTGGTTCTGGGTCCGTGGACTCACCTGCTCACTCATGGTCTCTACCAGGCCAGTTCTCTCTTTCTCTGCATGTTTAGTAATTTGCAGACTCCAGTGATTCTTAGTCCTGGGAGGGTTTTCATAAAGCCCAACGATTCTCTTTTCACACCTACTCGACCCTGAGACCTCATGAGAGAGGCTTTGCTGCCTTTCTGCCCGATCGCTGGTCAGACTGGATGCAGGTGCTTCTGGAGTCAGAGCTGGCGGCTCCCTTTCCAGGTCTGGGCGAGTCGTTACCGAGGCTCCTCCTGGGCTCTCTGGGCCCCAGGCAAGTCCTGGGATCGGGGTTTGTCAGTCACGGCTCCCGTGTGCGGTCCCTCAAGGTGCATTTGTGCAGGGCCACCCAGCACACTCCCCGGCGAGGGCAGCGTCCCTGTGGGTCCCCCTTTCATAAGCTGCTCCCCTCCTGGGGCTCCTGGGCCTCTGTGTCCCTCTGCACAGCAGGAGGAGCTCATGTCTGAGGTCCTTGAGCTCCCCCAGCTCCCTTATCTGCTGGGGCTCCTCGAACATGACACCCCATCTTTGAACTCAGGTGGACTGAGTGTTTGAGTTCTCTCAGGGGAGGGACAGGGTCCCATGAGGCTGTGACACCCGGTGGGTGACACTGCCGCCCTATGTACTGACCGTGTCAGGGGAACGTTCATGAAACAGAATTCAGCCCTCATGTGTCTGCACCACCCACAGGGCCCGGGGTCTCCTGGGGGAGGAGAGAAGGAAGTGGGGCTCCGAGGCTGCAGGAGGGGGCAGGACCCGCAGAGCCTGGCAGGAAATCCCATCCCCCTTTCCTGTTCCTTGGACTCGGGGGCCCCGCTGAGACCCCAGGTTCTTGTCCAGGAGGACCCCGGGCTGTGCCTCTGAGCCAGCCTTGCACAGTAACACGTGGCTGTGTCTGCAGGGTCCACACTGGTCATGGTGAGAACCACCTGGTTCTGGAGGTGTCCTTGGAGACTGTGAGCCTGCCCTTCAGAGACTGGCTGTAATACAGGTCATTGTCCCACCACACGTGTGCCAGCCATGCCAGGGCCTCCCGGGGGCGGCTGGATGCAGCCGACACCCACACCAGTTGTGCTTAGGGAGAACCCAGAGAAGGAGCAGGTCAGCGTGAGGGTCTGTGAGCAGGACCCTCACTGTCCCCACTCCTCACCCACAGTGAAAACCAGAGCCAGTGTCCTCACCTGCAGGGTCCAACCATTCCTGATCTTCTGAACAGCCTGTACTCTCTCAGCAGCACCCCCATGAACTGACCAACCTTTGACTCCTCCCTCTGTGTGTGTGACGTCATCAGCCTAGACAACCATTCCCCAGGAGGGTGGGTCCCTCTGCCTCTCCTGGTGTCACCTACTCTTGGTGGTGTGAGTCTGGGGTCAATTCAATGACCGTAGCCTCCATGCTCTTTCTTCTCTAGCTTTGGGGCCACATGCCTCTGGTGCCTGCTGTCCAGCCCCCACGTGTCCAGCTGCTGCCTGGCTGGGACCCTGAGGTGTGCAGAGCTGAGCTGCACTGTGGAGCCAGCAGAGCTCCCTGTTGGATTTAGGTGACGGTGGTCAGACGATTTGATGATTAATTGTCATTTGAGTCCAATAGTGTCAGAAAAAGTCCCTCTGCCTGTTGTCCATGTGAGAAAGTTCTCCTGTTTCAACAGACTCTTCTGACAGACATCAGAGGAAAGCGCAGAATCAGGAATCCACAGAGGTTCCTGAGGGAAACTGTGACCTGAAGAGGAAACCACCCAGGAAACAGCCAAACCGCCCACTGCACCTGCTCCTGGATGTCCTTGTGGTCAGGGCCCCTGAGCACCCTGGTGGCCGCAGCCTCTCCTGCAGGGAGGTTTGTGTCTGGGCTCCCAGTTACCTCCCCTCACTGTGCCCTTTGCACAGAAATACACGGCCGAGTCCTCAGATTTCAGGTTGGTCATTTTAAGAGAGACTGTGCTTGTAGGGTTGTCCCTGGAGATTGTGAATCTTCCTTGGACTGAGGGCGCATACCACTGATTTTTCCAGTTGCCACCCATTCCGGCCCCTTCCCTGGAGCCTGGCGGACCCAGTTCATGCTGTAGTTTGTGAAGGTGAATTCAGAGGCTTTGCAGGAGAGGTTCAGAGACCCCCTGGGATGCACCAAGCCTCCCCCAGACTCCACCAGCTGGACCTGGCACAGGCCACCTGCAAACACAGAGACACAGACTGAGAACTGCCCGTGTGGCCCAGTCCCCCTGAGCCTCCTGCACAGGGACGCACCTTGGACAGTGATGAGAAGGGCAGCCCAGCTGAGTGCAGACCCCATGGTGTGGACACGGAGGAGGGGCTCACAGGTGAGGGCTCCTGTCCAGGACCTTCAGGTACAGGAGCTGGGCAGCTATTCCTGGGCAGGGCAGGGGCCACATTTGCATGACTTTCCCTGGGACCTGTCTGAGCTGCCAGCAGGGCTCCTCCCTCCCCATTTAAAACTGGGATCGCAGGTGGACAACAATGCCTGGGCCAGGGCTCAGGGGCACAGAGCTGGTCTGATCTTTCTAATTGCTTGTCTGTGAATCGTGAGTGACACACTCCACCTGGATGGAAGGTGGGATTTTAAGGTTCTCCAGTGAAGGATGCACCTAAAATCCTGCAGGAGACGTCCTGGGACAGGCCTGTGGGGATGTCAGTGCCCCCTCATGGCCACTATGAGCCCCAAGTCTGACGCTCTGGTGTCTGAACCAGCTTCCTGAGACAAGGCAGGTGTGTCTGCCACAGGGATGTCATTCCTGGCGGTCTGACACGGTGGCAGCCCCCGTCCTGCCTCCTGCACAGTGGAGATTCTCTGCACGGACAGGCTGGCCTCAGGGCTCCCACCTGGAGTCATGAGGAGCATAACCGTCCTCAGTGCCAGGGCCCTAGAGCCAGGTCCTCAGCCTGCAGGCAGGAGGAGCCTTCCCCCGACCTCTTTTCTCAGTCTAGTGTTGTCAGTGATGTCGGGGTTCAGAGGGAGGTTACTGACCATGGTTCCCAGCTTAGATTTTCCCACAGGAAAGGGACCTTCAACCCTGACAGGAGACCCTCCCTCCCAGCCTCCCCCTGTCCTTTCCCTGAGGACGGTCACTGTGCTCAGAGGTGCTGGGCTCTCCCCAGAACATTCCCGTCCTTGATGTAATGAACACATTCTCCCATCCGACACATAATATGGAAACGCACTCTCTGCGCAGGCTTGTCATTTAATCCCCTTGATGGGACACTTGGTGTCACAAATGTTTTTACCTTTATTCAAGTTCAATTCATCAGTATTTTACTCCATGGGTCATATTTTGGGTGTTTTTACAGCAACCACCTGAGAAAGTGCTGAGCCCCCACTGTCCAGGCTGATTTTCTGCAGCAGTCACAGGGACTGGAGCAGGTTCTGGGACCAGAGTGGAGGCTGCTGGGAAACCCCCCATAGATCTGATGTGACTTTGGAGCTGGGTGAGGGGAGGATGCTGGACTTGTTTTGATCACATGACAGAAATATGCCCGATTCTCATGGACAGAGTGTTACTGAACATATGGGTTTAGAGCCTCTTCCAGTGAAGACCCAGAAGGAAGCCCAGGGCAGGATGGAGACAGCTTATATCATCCCAGGAAATCCCTGAGTAATTGTGAACAGGAGCTGCTTAGAAATAAAGACGCTACCAATGCTGCAGGCAGGGAACCAGAGACATAAGGAACCTGTCATTGCAACCTGGTGGGAAGGGGATCCCCTGTGACCTGCAGGCACATCCCCCAGTGTCTCTGCCAATAAGGTGCCAACTCGAGTGGTCCAAGCGATCAGCACTTGGACACTTACAGGTCATTACTCACATGGTCTCTCCATGGGTTACCCAGCTGCATAATGCTTTGGGGTCACATTTATGAATCTCTGAACTCTTAGAGGGAAGAGGGGTCACTCCTCCCTGGAGGAGCCCTGCTGATTGTGTGTTCGTAAGAGGGGCCATCATTTCATTGGCCAGGGCCCCTGTCTCAGCCCATCACCATCATCACCATCATCACCATCATCACCATCATCACCATCATCACCATCATCATCATCATCACCATCACCATCATCATCATCATCACCATCATCATCATTTGCTTATTTATTATCATGTTTCTCATTTTCTGTAGGCCTTATATTGTACACACATAATGGGCTATTATCTCAAGTTCTGCTCATTTTTTATAATCATTCAGTGAAATTTGTAGCCAGACTCCGTATTCTCTCTCCTCTGACTGCTGACAACTGATGGCTCATTCCTGCCTCTTCCCCATCTGTCCCACTTAGGAATCTGATAGAAAAGGTAGGGTGTCCTCTTTAGATGTCCTGAGGAGGTTGAAACCACACCAGACCCTGGGAGCGGAATTCTTCCCTCCCCACCACCTCGCCAATATAAAAGCCCTGAACCAGTCCCCTCTCTTGGCTCCACGAGAGCCCCTCTGACTTGCTGAAGGGCCTTCCCTGTGCTTCCCAGAGATTTGAACTCTGTACGTGATAAACATCCTGTTCCTTGGTGTGTGTGTTTGGCCTCAGTCTAGACTTTTTCACCAGGCTGTCCTGGGTCCCTCTGCCTCTGCCTGGTGTCACCTAGTCTTGGTGCTGTGAGCATGATGACAAGTAAATGACAGTCACCACTGGGCATCTATTTCTCTTCTTTGGGGTCACACACCTCAGGTGCCCGCTGTCCTGCACTCACGTGTCCTGCTGATGGCTGGTTGGGACCCTGAGGTGTGAGGAGTTGAGCTGCACTGTGGGGTCAACAGAGCCTCCTGTTAGATTTAGGTGAGTGTTGGACAGAAAATTTGATGATTAGTTGTCATTTGAGTTCAGTAGTGTCTGAAAGAGACTCTCTGTCTGTAGTCCACGTGAGAAAGTTCTGTGGTTACAACAGACTCTTGTAACTGAGAGACCTCAGAGGAAAGGGCAGAATCAGGAATCCACAGAGGTTCCTGAGGGAAACTGTGACAGGAAAAGGAAACCACCCAGGAAACAGCCCAAACCGCCCACTGCACCTGCTCCTGGAGGGTCCTTGTGCTCAGGGCCCTGAGCACACTGGTGGCCGCAGCCCCTCCTGCAGGGAGGTTTGTGTCTGGCTCACACTGAGTTCCCGTCACTGTGTCTCTCGCACAGTAATACACGGCCGAGTCCTCGGTGCTCAGTCGGCTCAGCTCCATGAAGGCTGTGCTGGTCGATGTGTCTGCCGTCATGGAGACTCTGCCCTGGAACTTCTGGGCGTAATTTGTATCTCCATCGTTAGNACGGCCGAGTCCTCGGTGCTCAGTCGGCTCAGCTCCATGAAGGCTGTGCTCGTCGATATGTCTGCCGTCATGGAGACTCTGCCCTGGAACTTCTGGACGTAATTTGTATCTCCATCGTTAANTTGTGCTCAGGGCCCTGAGCACACTGGTGGCCGCAGCCCCTCCTGCAGGGAGGTTTGTGTCTGGCTCACACTGAGTTCCCGTCACTGTGTCTCTCGCACAGTAATACACGGCCGAGTCCTCGGTGCTCAGTCGGCTCAGCTCCATGAAGGCTGTGCTGGTCGATGTGTCTGCCGTCATGGAGACTCTGCCCTGGAACTTCTGGGCGTAATTTGTATCTCCATCGTTAGGGTAAATCCTCCCCATCCACTCCAGCCCCTTCCCTGGAGCCTGGCGGACCCAGTGCATCCAGTAGCTACTGAAGGTGAATCCAGAGGCTGCACAGGAGAATCTCAGAGACCCCCCAGGCTTCACCACGCCTCCCCCAGACTCCACCAGCTGCACCTCACCCTGGACACCTGCAAACACAAAGACGTCCTGGTCAGGAAACTATCACACATCCACTGTTTCTCTCACTCATGTCCACTCACACACTCAGTGTCTCTTGTTCTCCATAAATTACCTCTTAAAACAGCAACAAGGAAAACCCAGATGAGCCCAAGCCCCATGGTGAGTGGTCTGTGTTCAGTCCTGATGAGGGAATGAGAACAGCTGTGGATCCCGGGGCTGGGCTCCTGTCCCAGAGCTGCAGGGTCAGGGCTGGGCTGGTTTTCATGAGCAGAGGGGGCCCTATTTGCATGTCGCCCTACTATATAGGGAGCTCTATGGTGAGCTTTCAGAGAGTCAGTGTCTCAGTGCAGGTGAGAGAGCCCTGTGAGTTTTGGTCACCATGGGAGCATTTCACTCACTAAATACAGAATTATAGGAGGTTTGGGGCTTGCGGAGGACACAGGTCTGGTAACAGTGACCCAGCATCTGAGCTCTCATCCTCCCCACTGACCTCGACTGCTCCTCTGAACCAACTTCAGGACAGAGCAAGACCTACCCAGTGAGTCTGCAGAACCCCTTTGTCTGTGTTGAGAGCCTCAATGAGCCCCTGTATTCTAGTGTTGCCGACACTTCAGGTCTGTATCCACCTGTAGTCCCAGAGTCCTCACTGCCATGGAGAAGGTTGTGCATCACCTGTGAGGTGATCCTAGGTCAGCTAAGGTGAGTCAGGTTCACTGAGATCTGGGACATACAACTGAAGTCTCTGTTGTTTCCAGATCACTATCAAGTGACACAGGAAATCTGAGTGGAGTGGGGAATCTGAGTGACACAGGATGATAGGACCCATGCTCTTGATTCCTTTGTGCATCTCATGTCCCCTATTAATCCCCAAATTCGCTGGCCCTAGAAGCCCTCCCATGGGATATCAAGTCAGTAATCAGACATCAGCCTCTTGGGGAGTGGTTATGATAGATGAGGTCCAACAGCAATAGCACAGCCATGAGTAACAGGGTCCGAGCTGGTCAGGAGTGACCTCTCCCTCTCCCTGGGAGGTGGGGCCTGAATTAGGTAACTTCCCTTTCAATGGCTGGAGAGGAGCCCATGGTGGGGCCATGGTTACAGGACCNGTCAGGAGTGACCTCTCCCTCTCCCTGGGAGGTGGGGCCTGAATTAGGTGACTTCCCTTTCAATGGCTGAAGAGGAGCCTATGGTGGGGCCATGGTGACAGGACCANATGGTGGGGCCATGGTTACAGGACCGTGTCCTGTCAGATCCCCATCAGCTCAGGTCCTGGAGGGAGGAGCTGGGTCAGCCTCTGGGGCCCAGCCTCAGAAAGCCCTGATATGAACAGAGATAGAACCAGAGACACTAGAGCAGCATTGGATGGACCACTTCTGGTCACCGAGCTCTGACCTCTTGACCTCTTACCCTGCTGAGCAGCCTTTCTTGCTTGGGGCTGAGGCTCAGTCTGAATATTAATGCAAGAAATTGGACTTTACAATGTTAATTACTTGAGAGTTTAACCAGTATGTTTAATTGGATTTGGCTCCTAGAAAATTTAACATGAAATATAATCAAATAGAAATAATCACAGAAAAGGGCCTGATAAAGGCACCCAGGGGAGCGACAGGAAGGCATTAAGTCCAGAGGTTGCATGTGGGGCAGCCTTTTCGTTATAAGTGGAGGGACTGGGGTCAGGCTGCCCTGGTCATTCTGGGACCCTTGGGGGCANAGAGGTTGCATGTGGGGCAGCCTTTTCGTTATAAGTGGAGGGACTGGGGTCAGGCTGCCCTGGTCATTCTGGGACCCTTGGGGACATCACTCAGCATGTAATNTAAGTCCAGAGGTTGCATGTGGGGCAGCCTTTTCGTTATAAGTGGAGGGACTGGGGTCAGGCTGCCCTGGTCATTCTGGGACCCTTGGGGGCATCACTCAGCATGTAAGTCAGGGATAGGGGGTCACCTGGGGCACATTGCATTAGATTAAAGACAGAGTCCCTTCTGTGAGCACAAGAAGAAAGTGTGGACTAGATGAGCAGGTCACACCTTTAACTTCTCCTGCATCTTTCAGACAGATTTTAGAGGGATTAGCATTTGTTGAGGTCGTTTCCAAATCACAACACTAGTATATTCACAATATCAAAATTTTTATTTCATATTTTTGTACAATGACTTTTAAGTTTATGCCAACTTAAAACACAACAAACATCCATTATCAATGTCTTCAGTATTAATTTATGAGGTTCCTTTGACGTGAGAAGCTCCCTCCCAAGCACAGGCAGGAGGGAGATTCTGCTTCTTCCTGTTGGAAATTCTGTCGTTGTGTCCAGAGCTTCCTGTGCAAACTCTTCCATTATGCAAGCCCACGGCCGATAGCAGAGACCCCCCCACGCGTTACGTCAGAATTGGTCCTGGTTTCAGGTGGAGAAGAGACAAGAAATGAAAACAGTGACTATGAATGTGTGCAGCTCAGAATAACTCATGAGCTGAAATGATTATGGAAGGAGACGGACCTGATTCCTCAGTCTAGTGTTGTCAGTGATGTCGGGGTTCAGAGTGAGGGAAATGGGGAGAATTTCTATCCTAGACTTGCTGATGGGAAAGAGAACTTCAACCCTGATGGGAATCCCTCCCTCCCAGCCTCCCTCTGTCCTGCCCCTGGGGATGGTCACTGTGCTCACAGGATGCTGGTCTCTTCCCCATAACATACAACGTCCTTAGGGTGTAATGACCACATTCACCCATCAGACAAGGGATATGGAAATACATCCTTTATATTTACGATTGTCTTTTCAGTTGCTCAATGGAGTCTTTAGTAAGAAAATGGGTGTAATTTTAACAAGGGCTAATTTTTTAAATATTTTCTTGAATGGATCTTATTTCGGGTATTTTACAGAGAACTTCCAAGGTAATGCTGAGCCCCACTGTCCATGCTGATTTTCTGCAGCAGCCACGGGGACTGGAGCAGGTTCTGGCACCAGAGTGGAGGCTGCTGGGAAACTGCCCATAGATCTGGACATTACTTTGGGGCTGGGTGAGGGGAGGATGCTGGACTTATTTTGNGGACTGGAGCAGGTTCTGGCACCAGAGTGGAGGCTGCTGGGAAACTGCCCATAGATCTGGACATGACTTTGGGGCTGGGTGAGGGGAGGATGCTGGACTTATTTTGATCACATGACAGATATATGCCTGATTCTCATGGACAGAGTGTTACTGAACATATGGGTTTAGAGCCTCTTCCAGTGAAGACCCAGAAGGAAACCCAGGGCAGGATGGAGACAGCTTATATCATCCCAGGAAATCCCTGACTAATTCTGAACAAGAGCTGCTTAGAAATAGAGACTTTACCAATGCTGCAGGCAGGGGTCACGAGACATAAGGAAANTGGAAATCCCTGAGTAATTCTGAACAGGAGCTGCTTAGAAATAGAGACTTTACCAATGTTGCAGGCAGGGGTCACGAGACATAAGGAAACTGTCATTGCAAACTGGTGGGAAGGGGATCCCTTGTTACCTACAGGCACATCCCCAAAGTGTCTCTGTCAATAAGGTGACAGTTCCACAGGACTAGAGGATTAGCACTTGGACTCCTTGTGTTTATGACTCACATGATCTTTCATGGATTATTCGGCTGCATAATTCAATGGGGTCCCATTTATGAATCTCTCAACTCTAACAGGGAAGAGAGGGCACCTCTCCCAGGAGGAGCCAGGGTGATGCTTTGTTTTTATGAGAGGCCATCATTTCATTGACCAGGGCCCCTGCCTCAGTCAATCATCACCATCATCACCATCATCACCATCATCACCATCATCA